GGAAAGGTCCGCGCGGCCCCGGTGGCACAAAGACCGTGAGTAATGGGGTGCTGGTAGGAGCCGCAGCCCAGGTGAAGGGTACGGGGAGGGACGGGAGCCTGCAGCGGGAACAAAGGAGCCGCCCTCGGTGTCTTCAGTGGGAAGTGGGAGAAAGAAAGGGGGAAAAGAGGAAAAGGGCGGAAATGGGGAAACGGGAAAAAGGAGAAATAGGGGAAAAGGGGGGGGGAGAAGCAAGAAGAGGAAGGAGGGAAGGGGAGGAAAAGAAAGAAAGAGAAAGAAAGAGAAAAAAGAAAGAAAAAAGAAAAAGAAAAAAAAAGAAAGAAAGCAAGCATCAATAGGTGAACATGCTGTAGATTTGTTCATCGTGCTGATTTTCTGTGCAATTGTGTCCTAGGTTTTCATTCCCTATACACCTTTGGAAGGAGCTCACTATGACAGGGCAGAGTCTGAAGGCTTTATCTGAAGCAAATTTTGAAGACAATGAGATCAGCATCAATGTTGGAGGCTTTAAGAAAAAGATGAGATCCAACACATTATTAAGGTTCCCCGAGACCAGGCTGGGAAAACTGCTGAGCTGCCACTCAAAGGAGTCGATACTGGAGCTCTGTGACGACTACGATGACACCAAGAATGAATTTTATTTTGACAGGAACCCCGAGCTCTTTCCTTACGTGCTACATTTTTATAACACCGGCAAGCTCCATGTGATGGGTGAACTCTGCGTGTTTTCTTTCAGCCAGGAGATTGAATACTGGGGAATCAATGAATTCTTTATAGACTCCTGCTGCAGTTACAGCTATCATGGGAGGAAAATGGAGCCAGACCAAGAGAAATGGGAGGAACAAAGTGACCAGGAAAGTACCACATCTTCTTTTGATGAGATTTTGGCATTCTACAACGATGCCTCTAAATTTGACAAACAACCCTTTGGAAACATCAGGAGGCAGCTCTGGCTCGCTTTGGATAATCCTGGGTACTCAGTCTTAAGCCGAATCTTCAGTGTCCTTTCAATAGTGGTGGTGCTGGGCTCCATCGTGACCATGTGCCTGAACAGCCTCCCAGACTTTCAGATTGTTGACAGCAACGGGAACTCCGGGGAAGACCCTCGCTTTGAAATCGTGGAACATTTTGGTATTGCATGGTTCACTTTTGAACTGGTGGCGAGATTTGCAGTAGCGCCTGACTTTTTAAAATTTTTCAAGCATGCCCTCAATTTGATTGACCTAATGTCTATCCTTCCATTTTATATTACCTTAATTGTCAACTTGGTGGTGGAAAGTAGTCCGACTTTAGCAAATTTAGGCAGGGTTGCTCAAGTCCTGAGACTCATGAGGATCTTTCGCATCTTAAAGCTTGCTAGACACTCCACAGGTCTCAGGTCTCTTGGAGCCACCCTGAAGTATAGCTACAGAGAGGTGGGGCTTCTTTTACTTTACCTCTCTGTTGGCATCTCCATTTTCTCAGTAGTGGCTTACACCATTGAGAAGGAAGAGAATGAGGGGTTAGCCACCATCCCTGCTTGTTGGTGGTGGGCTACCGTTAGTATGACCACAGTTGGCTACGGAGATGTTGTGCCAGGGAGCACCGCTGGCAAGTTGACAGCATCTGCATGCATCCTAGCTGGTATCCTAGTGGTAGTGCTTCCCATTACACTGATCTTCAATAAATTCTCCCACTTTTATAGGCGTCAGAAGCAGTTAGAGAGTGCCATGAGAAGCTGTGACTTTGGTGATGGCATGAAAGAAGTTCCGTCAGTCAACTTAAGGGACTATTATGCTTATAAAGTTAAATCCCTTATGGCCAGTCTTACCAATATGAGCAGGAGTACCCCCAGTGAGCTGAGCCTGAATGATTCACTGCATTAGTGTACGAGTTTGACAGCAGTTTGCATGACAGCTATCAAGAGCTATGTTTATGAATGTTTTCCTATTTGTCTTCTTTTTTCCTAGAGGCTAGTGTTGCTGACACTGCACTGACTTTGCACTTGAGAAACTAAAGACATTTCAATAACAAGTTGACAGTTTGCACATTTTCATCCTGTTGCATAGGTACTAAATGCCGACTTTTCCATACGAATGTTACGACTTCCATGACATTAGTGCTAGTGGTATAGTGATGAGCTGTTACTTTGTGCATTTCCTCATCTGAGCAGAGAAATGAACGTACCCAAGTGGAATAAAAATTCTCAGCTGCTACACGAGTAATGAAAAAAGTCCCATATCACCTATACTGGTATCTGTACTAGTGTAGGACTTTCCACACATTTTACGGCAGTTTAAAACAATCACCTGTGAATCACTGACACAGGAATGCTCTTCTCCATTTTTCTGACCGGTAATTCTGATCGCCACATGTCTGAAAATACCTCTGAGCTTCACATTTCAATGGAAGTTGGCTTACTCTTCAGCATGTGTGTTAAAAACTGAGTGTTCCTGTTCTGAAATGCTATGTATGGTAGTATTTTTCAGTAGCTCCTAAGCATAGAGATACCTCTGTTTCCAACATTAGGTTGAGCCCTCTGAAGAAGCCCACCCCTCATTTTCAGATGATAGCTGTGTATTCAAAGACTACATTTCCACGAGTGACTCTAGGTATGGAGGCCAATGAAGACATCTCAGGTTTCCATTTCCAGACGTGATCTGCACGCAGCTCAGTTCCAGTGAAGCTGAAGATACGCTATATTTCAGTCCATCGAAATGGTTCTGAGATTAGACACACAAAAACGTGGGTTTTCAACAATTAGAAGCTCCAATGAAAAACTTGGATTTGTTTAATGAAGCGAAATATTCCCACATGAACAGTACAGGCAGCATTTTAGGAACTGACATTCATATACCGCAAAAAGACTAATTATAAAGATGCCATATGTGATGCTGAGATATAAAATCTAATTTTATCAGGAAAGCTTGAAAGCAGGTGTTGATGGCAGACAATTCCATTAATCTTTCTGCCATTAAGCTTTTTGCCAAGGAAACTAAGGAAAAACCCCCAACCCTGTAAGCCACATTTCCCCTCAGAAAGGAACTCACAGCTTACAGTTAAGGAAGAGTATAACGGCCTAAGAAAGGAACAGATAAAGAAAAAGAGCTTAAAACTGCACACACTGTGGGCAGATCCTCCTACCTGCTTCTGTGACGTAGTTGATACAAATCCTTTCAAGGGCTGGCCTAAAAAAAAAAAAAAAAAAAAGAAGAAGTGAGAGAACAGATTATCTGAGTTTTCAAGAGTAATCATGAATCTGCATAAACTTTTTTTTTGAGTGCTCAGCCTCTTCCTTTACGTAATTGTCCAGAGATGAAACACTTGTAGCCAACAGGCAGAAGCCACTGCTTCCCTCTCTTTATACTTCCAGGGACCTGTGCTATAAACCAAACTGCTGGCACTCAGTGGGCAGGACAGCATTTCTCTTCAGATCCTGCTGGTTTTCCATCCCATTTATTACATAAAATGTTCCAATTCATTATTTTACTTTTTTCTTTTTACTTGTGAGGACTAGAGAGGTTCAGAAAATAAATTAGAAGAGAAGTTAAAATACAAAAGCTAAAATTGTCATGTTTGGAAGCCTGTGTTTGTATACCACAACAGGGAGAGACACCTAAACTAAAGTGTCCCACCTGGCAGAGTAAAGCAAATACGGTATGAATAGGTAATTCCCTTTTTTAGGCTATTAGAGGTTGCCATCTGGTCTGGATCTTTTGATGTTGTTGCTCTATCAGCTCCACCTACAACCAGAAAGCTGAGCACCCAGGATCAGATTCCTGTATGCCCAGTGATCTATCACAGAATACTGTGAAATAATTTTACACACACACCCCCCATTTCCTTTGAACACCCTCCCCTCACGTCAGTTAGTAGTTGATTTAGGCCATGAAGTGTGAGGGAAGCAGGTCCTTTCAAACCTTACAAAATAAAACTCGGAGATTTCAACATAGCCTGCACAAATTATTGACTATAAAGTCAATAGGCAAGAGGTTGCTTGCTGTCCCTGAAAACTGAAGAGCCATATATGTGGCCCTGAAGGTGGACCTAGATAACCCAAATTGGGTGTCCAAACTTGAAACATTTTGCTAAGGTTTTCACTTCTGGAGGGCTGGTTCAAGTTCTCTGCTGGGTCATAGGCATAAATTCAATAGTCTTGTCCCTGCTTCATATTGCACGTGTGTAAACTATCATACACCTACAAACACCCGCCCAAAACGCAGCACAGCACTGGGTTGCCCGTTGGATTGAAATACCATGAAAGAAATAAGGGAAGGAAGAGATGGGCCTGTGCAGCACATCATACGCTCCGGTCCAGTTATGTGCTGCAAGGGTGGCAAACGCTCCCGCTGACGTCAAGGACACTGCAGTTCTAGCTAGGTCTGTTGGTTGGGGGCCTGCAGAGAATCCAGCTCCGAGCAGTGGTTTTATCTCCGTTTCACAAGCAGTAGATTCACAGAGTTGAAAACCAATGACTTTCGGGGCAGTTATTTGAAGGGACCTGTAAACTTGCCAAAGAATCACAAATTCCCTCAGCTGTTGCTGGTTTAGCATTGCAAAGGTTGGACCCAAACTTTGCAACACATCATTTCAATAACCTATAGCTTATCTTACGTTCTAGATTTATTATTATTCATAGAGCCGATGTTCTGTCATTTCTGCAAATATTGAATGGAATGTGTCCAAATTGCGTTTTACTAAAGAAAATGAAATACCCCAAGGAATTATGACTTTTATTGTACTGGTTGAAAGGAATTTTCATTATTGCTTTTTTATATAAGTGCTTTGGATCAAAGACACTAAGTAAATAAAGTACTGAAATTTAATATGTTCATATCATCACGACAATGACTTTACACAGTACACAGGAATTCCCTTCATAAACTTAACTAACTCCATGTTAAAAATAGTCAGATTTTGCTCCCCCCTCCTCTGGAAGAGCATTCCAGAGCTGCGCTGCTCTCCAAGGCTTGTGCGACTTTTAGCATAATTTAATTAATGGCCTTTTTTTTTTTCTCATGCCACCATTGCTCTTTAGCTTAAGTATTTCATTTTCCTCTTAGTGTTTGCATGTGTGGTGTATTTATAGACAGCAACCCCATGCCCTTATGTGCTTATTTTCACGGGATTATACCTGCCAAGCTTCCTTTTAGTTTTCTTTTTGCAAGTCGTGTTCCCCTGACCATCCTAGGTGATGTAGGCTTTTTTTCTGCATTACTTCTGCTTAGATTTAATCTGTTTGAGCCAGCCTTGTACAGTATTGTATCCCTTTGTACAGCAGTTTTAACATTTGCTTACAACTAACAATTTTTCACTGAGGAGGATAACAATTATTCTGATTCAAGTAATGTTGTCTTAGCTCCCCCAAAATATCTAGGTAAGGAAGAATGAGGCACACCCTTCCTGCCATTTTATGAAGTAACCTCTATTCTAGGCTCAGTCCTGTAAGTGCTGAGAATCATCATCTCATTAAGTAAAAGTGACAGAAAAATGTTTACACTTTGAAGGAAAAGTTCATCTCTCCAAAGCCTCAGTGAGGAGAAGAGGTGGGTTTACTTTTCGAGTAGTCAGCGCTTCTGCTAGATTTCTTAAATCACTGTTTGGTAAGAGCAGGGCATCTTCCCTTCTATAAACCAGCGGGTCAGCAATGAAGGATGAGAGGACTAATTGGCCTAATTCCTCCAGTGTTTGAAACTTGAAAATGGTTGTGGTCAGAAATCTGCTTACTACGGATGTACATTTTAACGAAGAACATTGCACTTGGCATGTGCTCCCCCACCTTGTGACAGTCACCTTCTTGGCATCGGTGAAAACGCCGCTGCTACTCTTTCAGCTGAGAGCTTTGAATTGCTTAAATGAGGATTATGGTAATATTTCAAATGAGGCAACTTACTTTATTGCCAGGAATAAACTGTTACAGAATCTTGATTTCTAGTACAACTCCAGGCTATTATAAGAGTCGGAGATGTCCTTGAGAAGCAATATGTTACATTATTTTCCTGAGATGCAAAATCTATATATAGATTGTGATTAAGCTTTTTATGTATGTTCAGATTTTGTATTATTGCCTGGTTTATTATTCACTTACGTTCGT